TTTCGTCAGGTTCGAGTCCGGTTCAAGCTCGAACCGAACCAGACTCGAACTGAACCAGACTTTTTTTCGGAACCCTATCTGCTATGTAATATAAAATAAGGCAGTATAAAATTGACTGGTTTTTATCTTGTAAGATGGGTTACCAATAACTTTTTTTTCTGCTCATATATATTTTTACTTGATTCACTTGCTTGTAATTTATTTTTAATTTGCTATTTCATTTAACGAAGATTATGAAAATGAATTTATTTATCATGTTTTTTGTATTTAGATATGAAAAATGAGTAGTAATAAAAAAACTACCTTCAAAATCAACAATAGTAATGTCTTCAAGACTAATAATAGTAACACCTTCAAGACCAACAATAATAACACCTCCAAGACTAGCAAAAGTAATTCCTCCAAGATCAGCAAAACTAATGCCTTCAAGACCAATAATAAGAAAAATGGCTATAGTATATAAAACTCTATCTTTTCACATATATTCGAAGTCAGAAAAAATAAAGCATATAAATGATTACTTATATAGTAATATTTTATTTAAATTAGATGATTCAAACTATGATCCTTTAGAAGATGATAACTATAACATTAATGAAGACAGACCCTTGAACAATTTTTCAGAAGAAAATTCAGAATGGTATGAGGAAAAGGATTTCAATAAGTATGAGGATCCTGGACAACGACAAAAAAGACTAAATCAAAATTAATAAATAGTTCATATTTTTTATCTACAGTATGTAACTGCGATGTATTTTATTAATTCAGCAATATTATTTTTTATAATAATAAAGTGGGGATCTCATGTCTTGCCATTGTTTATTTTTTATTTTTACGTGATTATTTATGTTGTTATATCAATTCCACCTGTGTAATTAAATATGCATCTGATATTATAAGATCCCCTCTCATACTGATCTATGATATTTTTCTTATGATTTAAATTGCAAGACGGACATGAAAATTTAGACGTGTTGCAATAATATATATTATTAGAATTAGTACTATAATTCAAAGATATAACTAGATACTGCTTTAATACCTTGTTGATAAGATTTTTTCACTTTTCTTTTATATTCTCTTTTTTCACAGTTATCACTTGAATTCCATTCTGATATATCTTCCTATAATAAAGATGATAGTTTCTTTACTGTAATAATCATCACTATTCTATTTATTACTAATATTATTATCTTTATGCTCTTCATTACATACAGAACATGTTTCTGTATAATTGAAATGATCAGTGTATTTACTACTATGTTTAAAAGATAAATTAGTGAATTGTTCCAATATTATTTTTATTACATGTTTTCATTTTTTCTCAGGATTGTTAGGTAAAATAGAAATTGAAAGTCAGAATTTGTTAAATATATTTACCTGGGATATAGATGGCATACTTACCTCAGTTTCTGAATTAGCAAAAATAGAAAAATCAGAGACTCGAGACTTAATTTTTTTAGTAAATGCATTTACCGAAGCTTCTGATAATTTCAAAGAAGCAGAACTTCGAGTCTTTGACTCATTTTGATCAATAAATATACTTACCTCAGCTTCGGATAAATCATTTGAAGAATTGTCCTGATTATCAGTGAATTCTATGTCAGACATTTTAGCGAAATGATCAATGACTGTTTGAATTTTTAAATTAGTAAATTTTGAAATACTATCTGCAGTATAGGATTTGATATACTGAATCTTATCCATTCCTATTTTCTCAAATAAATTGTAAACTCTTAATGCTTTTTGTATTTGCTTGCATAAGTTTTCACACTTTGTATTAGGAAGTTGTTGAATAATAAAATTGTATATCTGTTCTTTTGCTTTTTTATCCTTAACTTTACCATTAATCATAAAATCTTTAACCATACCTTTGAATTTCTTAGCGTAGAAATATCAACATAATATTTCTTCTTGATTAGCTTTGATAACATCTTTTTCTGCATCACATGCATTTTGGTATAAATAAATAATATCTTGATCTGAAACGATTTCAGTCACATGATTTTGATAAATATTGTTTTGAGAAATTTCAGTCATATGATTTTGATGAACATTATTCTGTGAAATTTCAGTTATATTATTCTGATTAATGAAAATTGATATCTCTTGTATTAAATCTTGCTCTTTTTTCTGCTCAGAAGAGATATTAGATTTAATATTAGACATGTAAGTATTGTTACTGTTTTGAACTTTTGCGTATGAAAGTATTTCAAAATGGCAATAGTGACTGTGTTCACGGCAATTTACTTTGAATATTATAACTAAA